TATTGTTATCTTTTATTTGACTTTGCAATGTTACAAAATTGTAATGAATCAATTTGTGAGAACTGATAAAATATTTTTCAATAAATCCAAGATAAAAAGTAATAAACATTAAAAGGGCGTTCTCTGTGACTTTTCTTATCGCCCCCACTACTTTATTTTGCGTATATAAATCTATACATTGCAACTTTCTAACCTTCAATGTACTTCTATAAAGTGTGGGTGTTTGTAGAGAGAAAAATTTTGTAATTAAAAAATGTTAATGGCGTGAAAATATTTTATTGAATGGCTCTATTAAAAATCTAATTTATTCAACGCTTATGTTAATTAGAGTGTAATATATCTTCTTACTGCATTATAATTTTTTTTTATTTTTTATAGGAATATTGTTTTCTTCATTAGCTTGAGATTGCGAATTTGTAGAGCAAATATGTTGAGTGCTCTGTACTCATTGTAAATCACTTTTGAGTGATTCATTCAGATTAAATTTTTATAGTATGAATAATATTATTAATACAGATTAAAGTTGTATAATAAGCAAAATCATTATAATATAGAACAAATTTCACAATAAATAAATGAGAAACAATTTTGAATATTGTAATCGAAATCATATCGAAATCAACAATTACAAACCTCTTAATTTTAACTATTTATTTTTTCTACCGAACACTATAATAGCATTTTTGATTCGACAAAGAATATATATACCAAAAAATAGCTTCAATTTTTAAAGATCAAAGACGATTGAATTTATTTGATTTAGACGAAAAAAAGTTGATAACTCTCATCAAGATAAATTATAAATACAATACTTGCTTATCAAACACAATGATTTTTTGAAATTTATAATATTTAAAAATGCCATTTGTTAATTTTATAATTAATAATTATCGGTTATAATTTGTATGTTATTTTAAAAGATCTATGACATTTGAGATATTGATTGGAATTTTTCTTAATTATCATCAAAATTTTATCAGTTTTGTAATTCTTTTGTGTACCAATTCTATTTTTGATCAAGAAAATGGGAAAAAATACCATGTAAAATAAAATGTTCAACTATTCTATTGAGGAAGTCTTATATATCTCTTTTATAGCATATGTATGGTTGATAATATTATTACCAGTAAAATGGTAGAATCCCTTCCCATTTACTTAAAAATAAGTCTTGTTACCATGTGCGTGCTAAGGATTGCAAGCACTATTTTCTCTTTTCCCCATAAATGTAAACTACTTTTTAATTTTTATTTTTACATGCTGCAAATGTAATATTTTTGTATTGATTTTTATCGTTTTTATTTCGCTCCTCAGAAGCGAAGCGACTTGTGAATTTTCCGCCTTTCAACTTCAAATTTGATACTCCTTTTTCGTACCTATATATTATATTTGCCGCATTTTAAAAGACATAATTCATATATATTTATGATATCGCTTAACTTAATTGAATAATTAAAAAGTATAGGATAAGATAAACAAAGTTAATAAGTTTCAACTTATAGTAGACATGCAATCACGTGGTTTATATTAGAAAATGATTATCTTCACATATAAGCTTCTATTACCAAGTCTTTATTTTTCTGGCTATTCGTTTTTCTCCATTACATTTGTTTTTCTTTTTTTTTTTTTTTTTTTTCTATGATAAGCAAGTTTGATTAATTCTCAGATAAACAATGTGATCTCTGAAAACAGTAAAAACAAATTGTATCAATATTAACATTTCATTTATCTTTTATTTTTTTGTTTCCATTATCGATGCAAATTTTTATTTTCTTAATTACAGTTAAAAGACATTACTACTTATTATCGTAGCCATAATATAAAAAAAATTTTAGAACTTATAAAAATATAATTATTAATAATACGACAGTAATTTTTTTTATCTTTTTTTTTTTTTTAAATTACAGAATTAATGTCTACTATTTATTATTCATATATTATTACAAGTGTTACATTTATTTTTATTATTTACACACTTTATCATTTAATATACCCTTTTCATGTATAAATTACCTTGTTTAAATTAATGAGGAACTGAAAAATTGTATCTTCAATTAATTTTTTATCTTTATAAATTTAGTTATAAAAACAAAATAACAACTCATCAAATATAAGTTAGAATTATAACTAATCCAAGTGTTTCGCATTGATTATATTGAACATATTTTTTAAAACAATTTATTTTATCAAGAAATACAATTTATTCAAGATGTTTAATATGAATACTTAGATACGTAGTTATAGTTTTATATAACTAGGTTAAATTTTAAAGTGAATTGTATTGTAAAAGATATGATGCGTTAAATATCAGTAATATGAGACGTATATTTTGATAAATTAAATTTAATTTGAGAAAAAAAATCTTAAATCAAGAAATTGATTTTTTTTCTTCAATGAAATTAATTTTTTTGTCAGTTTAGTAAATTTGTTGTTTTATAGGGAATTTCTATATAATATATGCCCAATAGCTAAAGGACAGGCATATTTCACAAGAAATACAATTCTAAATTGTAATAACACATTGCAATAATAAATTAGCAGATGCAATTATAGTATAGTACAGTATTTATTGTTAATATGATGAAATATAGTTGAAAAACTAAATTATTAGTATTTAGTCTTTAAGACGTGGAAATTTTGAGTCTGTCATTGATTTAAGTAGATTTTTTATTCAAGTAGATGAAAATTTCAATAATCGATTAATTTTATATGATTGATATTGAACTCACGAATTGATAATTGAAAATTAAAATAAATAAATAAGTAAAAATTTATCAAAGTAAGGGATCAATTTTTGCATTTTTGATATTTCTTCTCTATTTACACCCACACCACATTTCGTGTGCATTACATGTATAGTTTGATTAAATTATTTCTTAGAATTTATTCCGAGAAATAGTATCATGATAATAAAAACGCTATTAACAAACAGCTTTATATTATTAAGACGAAATACATAAAATTTAAGCAATCAGCGTCATCTTTGCAATCTTGAGTAAAACCTATTCAGCTATCAATTTAATTTTGTTTACATTAAATGTCAACGATGTGTATGTAATTCATGTTACTCGAAGGAAGTAAGGAAATAATAATGTAAGGTGTTGACAGCTAGAATCCCGAAGAAAACATGACGCCAAAATATTTTATCGCTAATTTATTAAACTGTAAAAAAAACATAATTATTAAGAAGAATATATGAATAGAGGTATTAAAAGTAAGAACAACCAAGATAAATCGCAATTGAATGTCAAGGTGATGTATTATATTACTCATAAATAAATAAAATCTAGATCGTTGTATTGAGGAATCGACGAGAGATTTCCGCATTATGGATTATATATGACGCTTTAATCATCTGTGATTGCCATTAGTGCTATATATTATATCTGTGACGTTTTTCTTTGTATGCAAAGCCGACATTTGTTATCCTCGGAATTAAATATGTTAGTGTGTGTAACGAGCGAGAGCGTGCTCACGGTGATGTGAGTGATGGATTTCAAGTTAAATTGATTGCGATTCATGTGAGGTCGTAAACTAACTGATAAGGTCATTTAACCAAGGTTAGAATCTTCTGATAAAAATTTTTACCATTTTAGACGTCATTGTTAAATAATTATTTTTTCAAGTGATTAATTTATTATTTATCATTTAATACAATTGATACTATCTTCGTCTCATGTTACTAATTATTGTTATATTTTTGAACTAAAATTAAATTTATAAATTAGAAGGGTCGCTCAGATTAGATCCCAAGACACTCAAAAGTGACTCAGAAATGCAGTAGATAAAAATATACACACCAATATGCTTAAATAACTTATTAATAAAAAAATAAAAAATTATATTTTTTTGTGTCTCTATTTATTTATTTTGAATTTTTTTTTTGTCATTTTTGTTTGCACTTATACTTTTTTATTTGATACATATTGCGTGGACGTATTTAGATATTAATGGATAGCAGGATGTTGAAATAATAAAGATGGGTGAAATCGTACGTAAGAGTTTAACAAATAAAATATAATATATCAGAATGTGTTATTGTGTAGCGGAAAACGTCACAAATTTTCGAGTGATATATATAGTTGCATAAATCGTTGTATTTATGGAAAAACATAGTTTTATTTTACGTCATTGACATAAATCTGATACTTTAATACTTTACTTACTCTCTAGAATATTCATATATATTTTAAGTGTTTATTTAAAAAAATATATTAGCTCTTCCGAGAACATTAAAAGTAATCAGTTGATTAGTTTATTATTAAATGCTTTATTTAATATAATAAATTTGTTAATTGTAAAAACGAAAATATAATTCGATTGATCATCAATATTTAATAACGATCATAATTATTCTTTAAATAAATGAAGAGTTAAAATTATGATTAAAGAATAACAGTCTGGTTAAATTTATTTTCTCGGAATACCCCTTACGATTTGGTTGAAAAATTTTTTTTCATTACTTAACCCGTTAAAGATGTTCCTCAAAAAATTTTCAATTTTTTTATCTTACCAAAAAAAAGTTGCAAATTAAAGAATTTTTAAAATTTTTGTTTTCCAATGTAGGTAATTATTGAAAGAAAATTATTTATATATTTATCATCGCTTTTTTTCGAATTTTAAGAGAACGAAAATTTATCAATGATTAATCTTTTTTAATTTTTTTTTTTTTGCTTAATATAAGACTTGGATATTTTTTACAACTTCTCAAATTTTTTCATGGTGGCACACTTTTTATTTTTATTTTTATTTTTTTTTATTTTTTTTTTTTTTCCATCATTCAGAAACTATATCAAAAACGACAAAAAAAATTTTTAAGTCCTTTTTTAAACAAACCACAGGGTTTTGACAATTAAAAAATGGCTTATTCAAGATAGAATGCGTTAGATATATATTTCTATAATTTTTAATGTGGTCAATTTGACGTGAAATTCCCTAAATTATATATATTTATAAAATCAAAATTAATATTTATATACTTGAAAATGTAACTTCAGTCTGTGGACTATTTTTTTTTATAGATAAATTAATTTTTTATTAAATAAATTTTTTTGTTTTCAGGTAATACACCGAAAGGAATCCACACCAAACAAGTTTCCACAAAACTTGTGCGGGCTTTAGCTAAAAAAGGTTTTGCTATTCTTGTCAATCATGGCGTTTCTCTCAGAAAGGTAAAGTTTATTAAGTATTATATTTTTAAAACTGCAAATTATGAAAAATTCATTGAATACTATATCCGAGAAAAAATTTCATATAATCACCTATAATGCTGTATAATTGTATGAAGCTATGGAACATTATATATAATATGTAACCGTTTGTCTTATTTTATGATTATATATAATTATTTAAATTTATATTTCAACCTGAATGGTGAGAAATAATCGATAATTATATAACATGTACACTAATGAAAAATATTAATGTGACTAAAGAAAAATCTTAAACTAAGATCATTTTTTAAAATTACATTGTCTTGAATCATCAAACAGAAAAGTTCTTGAGCAAAGATATTTTTTTTTTGTTTCAATATATTTTAGTTGGTTCAAGATCTATTTTGCTTGATTTAAAAAAATCAAACTCTCTAAAAAAAATTTTTTTTTTTTGAACAAAGTTAATTTTTTTATCACTGCAATGATATATTGTCCTACATAAGCTTCTTTTGTCAAGAAAATAACGAAAAATTAGGGAAGGTTTAAAGATTTAAACAAATATTATTAACTTAATATCGCGTTATCATTATTATTGTTTATTTTAAAATGACTGAGGATTGTATATTATAGCTAAAATTAAATAATATTTGATTGTTCACTTAATAAACAAGTAATCGGGAGATCCAAATTTGAATTTTAGCTTGGTACCGTTCCCCATATTTTTTAAATCTTTGTTTGCAAAATGTTGAATATTTAGAAAATATTTAGAATTTCTTGAGATGAATTAAAAAGCCTGTAAATTGAATAAGTTAGATTATGTTGAAAAAAATTATTAAATGATAAAAAAGTTTATAAATTTATATTACGTTAATATTGACATGTAATTTTGTATAGTCATTTATGTATAATTTATATAATTGTACGAAAATTTTTTACCCGGCTTTATATCTATTTATATATGTCTGTATCCATATATCTGCATGTGTGTATTTTCCGTTGAAATTTTAGAGCTTCAAGTCCTCTAATAAATTTATAACAGTGGCTGTACATTAACTTTGTTAACAATTACATTGAACATAAATTACTATGATTATTGTTATAACATACCCATACGAATGCACGTGTCTCATAGACGTTTTTTCACAATGAAATTGATATATAGTTGGTCATTGAGAATTACGCTGGTTTTTAAAATTATCTTATCATTGATAAATTCAAAGATTGCTTTTCTTATAAAAAGTTATATTATGGAAGAATTAAAGAGTTAAATACAAGATTTATTCAACTTATTATTATTATTAAATATAATATGGTGAAAATATTTTTTAGAATTTTTTGTAAATAATGAAAGACGATATTATTCAATGATACTGATAATAATTATGATATCGACCTCGATCTAATTTTACTTTCGATTATTTCATCAATCCATCATTTAGTGGTCATCAATTACGTTAGCGCAAGTTTATTTAGTCAATTGAATATCCATTTTTTTCAATGTGATTGAGCTTGAAAATTAAGTTGTTTTAAACTGCACTTGACTAGTTTGTAAATTATTAACTATTTATAGTTAAACTTACCTACATTGTTATTGTTCAGAAATTTATATAAAAAATTGTAATTATTTAGAAACATACTTCCTCCTAATTTCGACTATAACACATTAAAGAAAATGTCCTGTACATGTCTTGAATTCGAAAATTTTAAACTTTTTTGAATAAGCTGTAACAGTTTGTATTGGACCGTTTTGATGAAAGTTTTTATTGAAACGTTATTACAATGTCAATTTCAATTAGCACGTGATTTATTTTCACAGAATAACACCAAATTTTCCAGAATCTAATGTAAAACATTCCAAAATTAACAACAATTTGTAAATAAAAAATTAATTAATTAAACATTTTCAGTTCACTGAATTGTGAAAATAAACCATTCTCGAATTCATTGAAACACACACAAAAAATTTCATTAAAGTCGGTCCAGGCGTTTAGGAAGAGTTCAGTGACATACACACGCACTATTAAGAATTATATATATTAAAGATATTCATTATTCTTTAAGCATTTCAAAAGTGGGTATAAATTAAATATAAATTACTAAATTTTCATTAGTAATTTCTATTTTTTAATTTAGCATATTTTAATTTTCAATTGATGCTATCAATTGCAAAATGATTCGATAATTTTATGTAATCAAAATCTAAGTAACTGATATACAAACATGAATAAAAAGAATTCACATTTAATTATAGAGATTTAAAAAAAAGGTTGACAACATATTATTATATTTAAAAAACTAAATATAAGTGAGAAGACATAACAAGTAATAATACACACATTATCAGTTAAATATGATAAGGAATAAATAAAATTAAAGATTTGTCTTTGTCCTATCATAAAGTCTATCTACAGGATATAACTTTGATATACATATGTATTACCTTTATGTTATTCTAAGAATCTTAATATAAAAACGGTATGTATGCAATAAAGAGTGTTGATGTTACTGCTGGTATTGCAACTGTTTAAAATACAAATGATATGAATGACCTCGTCAACCATCATCATCATCATCATCATCATCATCATCATCGTACAACGTGCACCAAGAATTATAACAGAAAATAATTTTTATTGTTGTATTAACTGAATTACACTCCACGTGTTATACTTTATATACTTCGAGTATAAAATAAAATTAAACGGATGTATTTTTAATGTCATACCGAAAAATGCTACAAATCGTTTTACGATATCTTTTCACAGTAAACTAATCAAATTTTTCGTTGTCAAGACATTAAATTGAGAAACATGAGCTTAGGAATTATTTATCTACTATAATCTCTTTTAATTCCTTGAACTTTTATCCGTCAATCTATATGTATACTAAACGGTTAATATACAATAAATCGATTTCCTGAATAGTAATTGTAAAGATAAATAAATATTTTTAAAAAATAAAAATTTTTGATAAATTGATTTTTTTTTTTGCAGACAAAAGACATGTATCAAGCTTTGGATGACTTTTGTGGATTACCTCAACAATCTCGTGCCAAATGTGAATGTGTTGCACCTTCACACAGTGGATACATCAAAACAGAAGAGTAAATAAATTCGTCCTTTGCTAAAACAAAAAATTAAATTTAATAAATTGTTTATTATTATTATTATTATTAATTATAGGGGACCATCATTGAGAGAAACGGAATCCAGACACGAGTTCATTGTATCCGGGAAAAACACTGTTCTGCCAGATGAAGATCTCCCGACGTTCCGGAACTCGGTGGATAATCTCGTGGACGACTTCAAAGTACTTACAACAAGGCTTCTCGTCGTATGTTTTTTTTTCTGTTTTTTGAAAAGCCATCACTTAGTTATGCATTCAAAAAAAAAAAAAAAAAAAATGAGGTATAACTAAGAAAGAATGATTGCATAGGCTATTGCTGTTGGATTGGGGCAACCATCAGATTATTTTCTGAAGAATCATACCAATCTTCTTAATTCTGGCAATGATTCATCATTCCGAATGATTTGCTACTCACCCACATATTCAATGAAGGGTGGTGAAATGCGCTTTGGACCAAGCTCTGAAACTGGCACATTTTCATTTTTCATTTCAGTAAGTAATAAGTATTCAAATAGAAAAAGATATTTTTTTTCTTTTCTTTGTTAATAGATTTCAAAATAAATTTCTTAATTAGTGTTGATTTAATAAACTGATCATACAAAATGATCAATTATCCTTCAATAAGATAAAGGTGATGTTACGTCACTCGCTCGACCCTTTCAACACTACAAATGGATGTAGGCCATGGTAAAAAAATTAACACAGTTTTATTTTTGGATATTTTTTTATTACAATTTTATTGTTATTATTATCATTAATTTATTCGTATCTTTTGTGTTGTACAATTTTTAGTTAATAGATTTTATTGAGAGCAACATTATTTTATACTTTTTTGTCTTTAAAGTTATGAAATACTCTTTGTACATTTATCTATAATTAATATTATATAATAAATAGCAGATGTTACAATTTAATGAAAAATATTAAAAGTTTACTTGTGGCAAGCTGCTGCGTGACAATATGATGATGACACATGAGATCACATTGGAATTATGATTAATAAATGTATCTTTGTAGAGTTAATTACATAATTATAGCCAATGATCTCATCATCATTATATGTTTTATAATAATTTGTGTTTTAAATTATTTTGTATTATTGCAGGATTGCGAGAGTGGGTTTGAAGTTAAGTCGATCTACAGTGATCGTTGGTCACGAGTAGGATACTTTCCAGGAGGGATTCTGGTTTGTGCTGGTGATGCTTTAGCCAGATGGACCAATCAGCAGATGGTGTCATTAAAACATCGTGTGGTTGTACCAGAACACTGTCCCCGTAGTCGTCACACACTTGGATTTTGTGTTGAGCCTGATGAGAATGTTGAATTTGAAGCATTGGACACATCAATCTTAAATCCACCTCAAGAACCGGTGCTATGTCGTCTTCAGAAAAAAAAACGTGGCGTACTATCGGCGTATCATCATCTTCAACGTCGATTTCGTGAAGCTTATGCTTCCTAATGATTATTAAAATCAATAATTCCCTGGCGTGTTACTTACCATTTAAAAAAACGTTAAATCACGTTACTTCCATCAAGGGATTGCAATTAACAAGAACTCACTTATTATAATAATTATTATTATTATTCTCTCGATTCTTTAAGCTGTATTGTCAATATTTGACTATGTAGCTAGAATTTTTATAACTGCGATTAATAATAAATAGCAATCGCAATAGACTGAATAGTATAAATTTAATAATCCGGCAAATGATTTTTTTTTCTAGGCTTTCGTGGTCTATTGATTCAATAATGGTAAAGATAATTAATTGTAATGCATTTAAATCTATTGAATTCCGTAACATTGACATCTTTTTTACAGTATCAATTAAATAATATTATTTTTGACAAAATCGATATTTTTTTAACTGAAATGAAGATAAATGAGACCATGAAAAATATAGTAGAGTCGAGAAACCGATTCATTGAACCGTCCAATAATCTTTCGTTAATATATATCTCTTTAATTAACTTTTTTTTTCCTATTCAATACTTAGTTGAATTTAATTCTTCTACTTATTTTTTAACTAAATATCAATAAAAAAAAAGACCACGAGAGTTTATCGTCTGTTCGGGTGAACCGTGATATATATTAAGCGTACACGAAGTATCAGTCTGGAATATCCAGCAATAATAAATGATAAATCAATTTGTACTTAAAAATTCAGCGTATTTTTTTTTTTATTTACTATGTAAAAGGAATTATTAATCGTCTTTTATCGATGAATTCAAACGTATATCTTACGACTCTATAACAAATTAATTAAATTATTGCCTTGTATCGATTTATAACCACGTCAGGATTTATAAATTTTTATACTTAATTTGATATTCTTAACTATATGGGTGATGTTTCAAAGTAATTATTATACTGCTGATTTTATTCAAAATTTTTTAATTATATATCTGTACTTGATATAATTCAATAAAACATTAAAAATTTTTATCGAAAGTTCCTTTTTTTGTTAAATAACCCAAACTATATATTTATTTTTAATTCTTCACTAATCAGCTTGATTAACAAAATTATTTTTCTATCGTAGAGCACTCGCTCATGCTTCGCAATAAGAGTCGTGCAATATTGATTGATCAGTAAGGCTATAGAAAAAATATTCAGCTGTCACAGACAAGTAAACAATTCTAGCATAAAATTTTAATTAAGAATATTTACATTTGAAAAGTTGAAAATAATAATTAGAAGGAACAATACACATATTTTAAATACAATAATGCATTTCAATTACAAAATTGCTCGAAATAAACAGTTCACATGCTTTAATAATAAAAATTAATAGAGTATATTTAGACATGCTCTAGGTGCAAAAGAACTTTAATCAGTAGAATTAGATTTATCCAAGCTATTTAAATTCATCGGTCAATAGATTTCTGTGCCTTAATGTTAATAATACTTTGTTAACAGACAGAATTGTCCAAGTTATAAAAGCACTTTACGATAATCAACTTCAGACTTATTCAGCTTAATTTATTCTTCAAGTAAAAATTCTACCGATGATTAAATTTTAAAAGGACCAAAAAAATTAATTTGCATAGTTTTTTAATAATAAAATTAGTTTGTACTAAATTTTTTTTTATTTTCCATTTCTAAAAAAATTATAAATTAAGTAAACAAATTAAAAACCAGGATCCCAATTAACTTTTGGCGGTACTTCATGAGTTACATAGCAAATAACTGTATCACCCGGTTCCACAACAACATCTGGATTTTCAAATCTCAAACCGCATTCGACTCCTGATTTGATACTGTTAACTTCACTTTTTAAATGTCTAATTTCTTTTACTTTGCCTATCAAATAATAATAAAAAATATTATCTTTTTACATTATAGAAAAATTTTGTATTGATTAAGCCATTATTTTAAATAATTATAACTACTCTTACCTTCATAAATTTGTTCACGATTTCTTATAATTCTGAAATTTGCATCTTTTTTAAGGATTCCATCAGTACAGCGGCATCCAGCAACATTAACTTTTTTCTTTCTTTCCGTTATTTTGAAATGTTGCAAGACATTAGCTTCACCTTCAAAAAAATTGTTTTTTAATTTACTAATTTAACGTCTAATGGTTGTTTTTTATTGTTTTGTTTCAAGTTATGTATTTTTATTTAGAAAACTTATTTTCTTACCCAATTTTTCTTCAACTTGGTCTGGTGGCAATTTTTTACATATTTCATTTTTAATGTCATCTATAAGTTTATAGATAACTTTATAGGAATGAATAGGTATCCTAAATTTTTTAGCAAGTTCTTCAATTTTTTTTGGAGCATTAACATTAAAAGTATAAATGATAGCTAAATTGAAAATGAATATAAATAAATTACTTACACAATTAAAAAATAATATTTAATATAAATATAATGTAAATTTTACCATCAAAAGCTTGAGCTAGTTCGACATCATCTTCGGATACTGGACCAATACCATAATGAACAACATCTAGATGACATCGATTTTCATCTCCATACGTATCAAAAACATCCAATATAGCTTCAACGGAACCAACGACATCACCTTTTACTAAAACATTTAATCTTGGTATGCCATCGTCATCCTGTATTTCTTTTTTTCTCGGACCAGGTTCTCTGCTCTTCCTGTACCTTCCTAAGGCTCTTCTTTCCTGCAGCTGAACTTTATATACCTATGAAAATTAATTGAATTTAAATAATAATTTACAAAATATAAGAAATTAAAATTTTTAAAACATTATATAATATTGAATTTTACATACTTTTTCATGCTCCGCCTGTCTTTGTTTTATAACTTCCAGTGCTTCAACAGCTTTAAATTTATCCTCTAGAGTTTTCCTAAATCTTAGAACAAGATGAACTCTTTGTTCATCTTCAACTTCAATAATTTCTTCGCCAACTGATGGCAATTCTCGCCACCCAATTATCTGAACTGTATCAGATAATTTAGCTTCCGAAACAGGATTAGCTGCATGATCGAACATTGCTCTTACTTTAGCCCACGCAAGTCCACAAACTTTAAATTAAATTATTAACACTAAATAAAATATTATTTTCTAAATGAATTAAATTAAATTAAGTTGACTTATTTCTTACCAAGAATAGCTCCCTTTCGTAAAGTACCACGTTGAATAAGTGCAGTAGCAAGTTTACCTCGACCCACTTCGGTAGAAACTTCGATAACAACACCTTCAACAGGTCCCTTTGGGTCACCTTTTAAATCCATAATTTCTGCTTGTGCAACTATCGTTTCAACCAGATCTTTCAAATTTAACCCTTTTAATGCTGAAATATTGACGCTCGGTACCTCACCACCAAGAGCTTCCACTTGGATACCTTGCTGAGCCAACATATTCTGGGTTCTTTTCTAGATATAATGTAAAAAAAGATAAAACGGTCATTCTAAAAGCTATCATAAAAAATGGTAATATTATAATAAAAACGTTACCTACAATATCTGCTTCTGGTTTATCAATTTTATTAATAGCAACAATGATTGGAACTTGAGCTTCTTTTGCCATTTTTATACTTTGAATTGTTTGTTCCATAACACCATCATCTGCTGCTACAACGAGGACAACAATGTCTGTGGCTTGGGCACCTCTAGCTCGCATAGCACTAAATGCAGCATGGCCAGGTGTATCAAGAAAAGTTATTTTTTCCCCAGTATCTAATGTTACTGTAAGTTTAAATAAAATTTAATAAATACACAAACAAATAACAATGATGATAATATACCGTTAAAAGCTCCTATATGTTGAGTTATTCCACCAAATTCTGAGCTTACTACTGATGTATGTCGTAACGAATCTAATAACGTTGTTTTGCCATGATCTACATGGCCCATTACTGTTACAACTGGATGCCTTTTAATGCATATTGATGGATCCGGGGGTGGTCTACAATAAAATGTTAATTAATATTCTTGAATTTGAACTGAATATCAATAATAAGAAGTTGCTATTATATCTAGGTTTAATTATCGATAGTCGTATGAAATGGGACTATCAGATAAAAGAGCTATTAAAAAAATAAAAATACTTCATTTTTTTTTGTTCCATAAGATAAGTAGTTACATGAATAAGAAAACGTTAAAAATAATATATCATGCCGTTATAGAAAGCATTATAAACTATAGAATAACGGCGTGGGGAAGTACATATAATAATATACTAAAATTTATTTTAATCAATCAGAGGAAAATAATTAATAAAATAGGCGATAATATGTCTAATGTACTCGATATAAGTAAAACCTATATTCTCAGATCATTGTCAATGTTCTATGATGAATGCAAAGTTGAGTATGAAAATGTATGTGTAAACACTAGAAATAGATCTATTCCCTTACCAAAGATAAATAAAAAAATTGCTAGCAAGAGTGCTAGATACACTGCGATTAAATACTTTAATAAACTACCCAATAATTTAATGAGCTTGAAAGGTGATAAGAAATCAAATAAGAATAATCTCCTGAAATGGATTATAAATATATGAAGGCTAGTAATTGCATTTTGGCACAAAACTTTAAAACTTTAATTAGCAATGTTCGGTATTTTAGTAACTTATAATTGTTATCTCTTTAGTTTATATGAATTCGCTATCTTGAATTAATAAATATTATACCAGTCTTGTGCACAAATGCTTTTGCATCTCTATATATATTAGGGTGGGTCAAAAAAATCGATTATTTTTTTTTTAACTTCTAATATTGAAAAGTTGGTTCTCAGGCACCTCTAGAAAATGCTCAACAAATTTGAGCTCTTAATATTGATAGGAAGCTTATCCGCATCACAGTTTTATATTTTTTGTTAGTCTCTTATAAAAAAGATCATATATCTCACTATTGATCAATTTTTTAATCAAATCTTTATACATGTTTATGTGGAAAATTGAATGATCTACAAAAAAGATTTGATATATGTAAGCGATTACATTAACCATTTCAAAGATATCCGAGATCAAAGTTTAAAAAATTTATCAAAAAAAAATTTTTTTTTTAATTTCCTACCA